GGCGTGGCGGCGGGAAGGGCCGCCCGGCCGGCAATCGCGGTTTCTCGGCGGCCGCGGCTTTCCGAGAGCCCGGGCCCTGTGGGCACCGTAGGGGAAACAGAGTGGCGGCAGGAGCCGTCCCTGGCCTGCGGGGTCAGTCAGGCTCGTGGCTGAAGGACTTCTTCATCTTCTTCCACAGGCCCTGGAAGTTAAACCCCCGGTTGGTGTTCGGTTGTTTTTGTTTTGTTGGTGGGGGAGTGCGCGGGACCGATCTGCAGAAACTGTCACGGACTGAAAAGTTTCCACGTATGGGGTGGGGGGGTAGGGGCGGTGGGTAGTGTTTGTGATAACACGGTCCCCTTATCCAGAGCTTCTGTGACCACCGTCTCTCTCCTCCACAGCCTCATCCCACGTGTGGTCTATCCCCATCCCTCTGGGATCTCCCGCCTTCCTAGGAAGCTATGGATACCTCGACGCCTTTACCTCCAGTACCCCCGTCCCCGATCTGCAACCCGGCCCCAAGGACCATCCAGATCGAGTTCCCTCAGCATAGCTCATTGCTGCTGGAAGCCCTGAACCGTCACAGGCTAGAGGGAAAGTTCTGTGATGTGTCCCTCCTGGTGCAAGGACGGGAACTTAGGGCTCACAAAGCAGTGTTGGCTGCCGCCTCTCCTTACTTCCACGACAAACTTCTTCTGGGGGATGCACCACGTCTCACTCTGCCCAGCGTCATTGAAGCTGATGCCTTCGAGGGGCTTCTCCAGCTCATTTATTCAGGGCGTCTCCGCCTGCCACTGGATGCTCTCCCTGCCCACCTCCTTGTGGCCAGTGGCCTCCAGATGTGGCAAGTAGTAGATCAGTGTTCAGAGATTCTTAGAGAATTAGATTCCTCAGGTGGTGGAATTTCAACCCGTGGAGTGACCCCTTATCACACACTTCTTTCTACCACATCCTCAACAGGAGGTTGGTGCATTCGCTCTTCCCCTTTCCAGACTCCTGTGCAGTCTTCTGTTACTGAGAGCCCTGTTGGAGGGGAGGGGAGTGAACTGGGAGATGTGTTACAGATTCAAGTTGAAGAAGAGGAGGAGGAGGAGGAAGATGAGGATGAGGAAGACCAGGGGTCAGCAGCACTCTCTCAGGCTCCTCAACCTCCGAGAATATCAGGGGTTCCCCGCCCTCATGCATCCCACCCACTGCCCCTATCCACTACTCCCCGTAGGCTTCCAGAGGATGAGAGTGTGCCACTTGAACCTCCTGCCCCTCCAACTGCACTGCCCCCCAAAATCCTTTACATTAAGCAAGAACCTTTTGAGCCTAAGGAGGAGATATCAGGAGGTGGAACTCAGGCTGGAGGAGTAAAGGAGGAGACCAAAGTGTTTCCTGGAGGGGACACTGAAGGGAATAAAGAACTAGGGTTCTTGCTGCCCGCAGGCACAGGGGCAACATCTGGAGGAGGAGGTCCATCTTGGAAACCAGTGGATCTTCATGGGAATGAAATCCTTTCTGGGGGTGGAGGACCTGGGGGAGCAGGGCAAGCTGTGCATGGGCCTGTGAAGCTAGGGGGGGCACCCCCTGCAGATGGAAAACGCTTTGGTTGCTTGTGTGGGAAGCGGTTTGCAGTGAAGCCAAAGCGTGACCGACATATCATGCTGACTTTCAGCCTTCGGCCTTTTGGCTGTGGCATCTGTAACAAGCGCTTTAAGCTGAAGCACCATCTGACAGAGCATATGAAGACCCATGCTGGAGCCCTGCATGCCTGTCCCCACTGTGGTCGTCGATTCCGAGTCCATGCCTGTTTCCTTCGCCACCGGGACCTATGCAAGGGCCAGGGCTGGGCCACTGCTCACTGGACTTATAAGTGACTACTGAGGCCATAAACGAACTTCTAGGACAAGAGAGCCACTGCTGCTGATGGATACCTACCCCTCACTAGCATAGCACCCCAATCCTGGATTTTGTAGTCATGCCAAGAGGATAGATATGTCATGGATCTCTTGTTCTTGGGTGTGGGCCTCAACCTGGCAGATTTGGAAACTCAGATTTCTTATCTCATTACAGGTTTTTACTAATTACCATACAGAAAAGTGGTTTACAGGCCATATGTAAATTGGTCACTTGCCCGTAATAGACCTTCTTTTTCATACAGTAAACCAGATTTCAAATCAAGAAGTTTATTTGAAGAGAAAGAGCAAAAAGACATAAGATAAATGTTTCATTCAGTCTTCTTGAGTTAAAGGAGCTGGTCTCCATCTAGACGTATGTTTGATTCAGGGTTCTAGTAATTCAGAGACTAAGCTCTAAGCTTTTGTTTCCCTCATCGCTGAAATATGAACAGAGTTCTTTTTACATGTTTTCCTTTTCATATCTTTCCAGAAGCCCCTCAGATCATAACTTGCTTTCTCACCAGTAGACCTTCCCAACACCTTTATTTTTATGTTGTAGCTGAGCACTTTAACAAATTGAGTATTCCGTGTATCATTCCTAGAATCGAGAATATTCCCTCAACAGCCTGTGCCTCTTGTCTGCCTTTGACCACCACTGATCATGTATTGATCACAGTGACTGGAATGTGACCAGAGAACTCAGGAGATGGCCACTGACCTAAAATGCTCTCAAGGTAGCACTACAGCTCTGAGCAAGTGGCCTAGGTCAGAGGGACTCAGGGCTGAGAGGACACATACTGAAGGCGCAGTGGGACCATATTCCCTCCCTTTCCATCCCCACCCACACATGACAGCCCCTTGGTTGAGAGGTAAAAGGGCAATTTCAGAATGAGAAGGTAGTTGCAGGTTACTTAATTTCTTCAAATAACTTTGCCTTGAAATCTAAGCTGACAGTGGACTAGATTGAGTAATTTATGTGGGAAAGACATGAAAACAATTGCAAAGACTTGGATGTATTCCTTATGCAACTGGGTTATGTCGATAAGGGAAGAATGGAATGGTTTCACACTGGTGCAGAGAAAACGACTTCAGTGGGCCAGATTCCAGGTCAGGACCTGGCATTGAATAACCTCTGGTAAGTTACCTTATCTTTTAGAGTCTGAACTGTTAACTTTTTTTTTTTTTTTTTTTTTTTGGTGGGGTGGTATATACCTCCTCACTGGTTATGTCTTTTGTTTAAATGGCTTGGTTCACATGCTCTTTACCTATACGTCTCTGACTTCATGTATTATGTATAATGTTTGGTTGTTTGGTTTATTCTACAAACATTTAGTGCAAAGCACTGTGCTATACCCTAATTTATACCCTGCCCTCAAGGACTTCACAACTACTACTGAAGCTAAACAAATTAAGACAATGTAGCATGATAAGTCCATAATAGTGGGCAGTACAAGCTACTGTAGAGGCACAAAGGAAGCTGAGCAAAGACCTGTTATAGGTCAGCAGAGGTTTCACAAAGAATTCCTCTGTGTGCCAGAGTACAGCAGTGGGTGTGGGTAGCTGAACTGATGTGGAAATGGTGAACATGAGTTGAAGCCACAACTTCACTGTCAGGAGTGATAGCCTTCCCCATAGCAAGTTCCTCAAAAGTTACTAGGTATGATACCCAGAAGAGACTGAAAAATGTGACTTTATGGCTGAGAAGGTGAATTGTAGCTGGGATCTATCAGCCCATGAATAGCCTTGCTGCGGTACCATCCCCATGGTAAGGCTATGAACACACAGGAAAAGGAGTCAGGGAGCAAGGCTGCCAGTCTTTGATCTTCTGCAGTCCCACTCACATGCCATTCTTCCAACACATTCTGTAGGTGGCTATATCTGTTGGCTAGGATCCTTTGGTTGCAAGCAATGAAGGTTGGTTCTGACTAACCTTATCAAAAGAGGAATCAATGGATGGATGTGGGGTGGCTCCTGGAATGGAAGAAAGGGGTGAAGGACCAGACTTGGGAAAGACAAGACCTGGGTCAGATGTGGGGGTCCGGGGAGCAAGAATTGGGGAATATCTTCAAGTCATATGTTTCGGGATAATGACCCAGTCATTCTTATTTCTTGTGTCACTCAAGATAAAATTTCGCAGATGAGAACCCTGAGCCTCAGGTTCACCCCCTGGCCTGAGTACCTTGATCATGTGTTGCACTGAGGCAACAATGTGGGTGTGGAATCCTCAAGGGGAAATTGAAGTCCTGGGATAGAATAGTGGGGAATGGATGCTGGCCAGACCACAGGAACAGGCTTACCACAGACAGTCTCCACATGCTGCCCATCTTGGGATCCTTAAAGCCTCAGGTATGCCTGGAACTTAATAGGTGTTCAAGATATGTTGAATCTGCCTAACTTCCACCTCTGTCCTTTGAACTTAAGACAGAATTGCTTCCTTCCTCTCTTAATCCCTATAGCACTTTGTTATTACTCTATAAAGCCAATTAAAACACCATGTTAGAGTTTTATTTAAAAAATTATTATACAGAAAACAATTTCCACGATGAAAGGTTTTGGTTTAAACAAACTGAAATGTGTACCTTTCTGCCCCTGTTGTTTCCTCCTCGTAGTGGAAGAAATATCCCTTCTATCGTTGAAGGCTAGCCCCTTCCCAGAACCTTTGCTCTTTTAATTATCCCCCTCTGTCCTGTATCTTCACTCTGTAGTTCCTCATTTGCAGTTAATCATGCTCATAGGTTGTGAGAATACGTGTAAAATGCTTAGAACAGTGCCATGTATTAAGTAAATTCAGTAAATGTTAGCTCTTGTTATGAAAGAACATTAGTCAGTTACCCACATCTTTACTGGGATCAGTTCTTTCAGGGAGGGATCATTTACATGAAAGGAAAGTATTTTCAACTAAAAGGGAAATGAGGCATAAAACGCTCAGTAAGGATTAGATATTGTCATTGTTATTATTACCTTTCTCATAAATGCTAGAGTTCTTTTCACCTAACTTTATACACTCCTGGATGATTTTTATCCACTTTTCTGAGTTAAACCATTTAAATACTGATGACCTTTAAGTTTATAACTCCAGTTTTCCTGACTCCCAAACCCACTTCGATTTCTCCCTTCTTTCCTTCCTTCAACAATAAGTGCCTCTGTACCAGTAGCAGGCACTGATTAAAAGAGCAGAAGGTATCAAGAGCTTGGACCTTGGATTATTGCTTTAAGAGACAGATCTTTAAACCAGCTATGTAGATACTTCATAGATATCTTAATATGCTTAACATGTCTAAAATACTCTACCCCGCTTCCAGCCAGCTGTTCCTCTGCTCTTTCTAGGTTTAGTAGTGATTCCACCATTCACCCAAAAAATGCCCAAGACTGAAACCTGGGAGTGTTTCTGAACACCTGTCTCACCTCCCATACCTGTGCTACCAGTGCTATTTCCTAAATATTTCAAATTGATGCATTCCTTCATTCTTATTGCTGCTACTGTAACCTAACTGGTTGTCTTCTGTCTTGCTTTCCTCTGTTTTTCACTCTGTACACTATGGCCATTGGTTTTTCTAAAGCAAAATAAACCTGTCTTACCAACTCTTCAGCTTAAACCTTTCATTGCTTCCTCTTGCTCTTTCACGAAGTCCAAATGATCTGGTCTCATTTACTACAGTCTTGTTGCTCATTACTAACTCCCCCTAGGCCTCCTTTTTTCGGCTCTTCATGCTCATTTCTCTACCTAGAATAGTTACCTACCTAGAAATAGCCCTCAATGGGCTAATTCCTACTCTCTTTAGATATCAGCTTAAACATCACTTCCTCTAGAAATCTCCCTGATCATTAGGACCTCTCTGCTATGTGCTCTACTAGCTCTTATTTCCCCATATCATGAGACTTCCTTAGAATTTCCTTTATTCGACAAGTATTTGCCAGCTAACCACTATTACCCGTTATGTGTGGGCACTGTTTTAGGCATGGCAGACATTGTTTACCCTCGTGAGATTCCATTCCAGTTCTGTAAAGGAAATATACAAGGTAATAAGGTGGAGACTAACAGAAAAGGAAGCCATATTGTATACATTGATCTTGTATCCAGAGGAAAAGAAGGACCCAGACATGCAAAGCAGGGCAAGGAAGGTGGTTCTCGTAAAGTGTTTAGCAGATGCAAAAGAGACAGAGGTTGGTATGTTTGACAAGGAGACCAGTGGACCTGGAGAGGAATGAGATGTTTTAGTCTGTTTAGGCTGCTGTAATAGAATACCATAGACTGGGTGGCTTATAAACAACAGAAATGTATTTCTCACAGTTCTGGAGCCTGGGAAGTCCAATATCAAGCACGGGCAGATTCAGTGTTGTGAGGACCTGCTTCCTGATTCATAGAAGGTCATCTTTTCACTGTATACTGCATCTCTTTTATAAAGACACTAATCTTATTTATGAGGACTCCACCTTCATGACCTTATCACCTCCCAAAGGCTGAACCTCTTAATACAATCACATTAGGATTAGGATTAGGATTATGAATGGGCGGTGGGAGGTGGGGTGCAGGTGGACATTAAGTCCATTGCAGATGTAATTGAAGAGGTAGGCTGGGGCTGGGTTATATAAAGTCCTTCAGATTAATGATAAGGAATCTGAATTTTATTCTAAATGCAATAGGAAGGCAATAAAGAGTTTAAAGTAGAGTAATGGTGGTCTGACATTTTAAAGAGATCCTATTATATTTGGAGGTAGGACTGACATAGGCCATCTAACAGATTAATATAGAGATTGTGAGAAAATGAAAAATCAAGGAAGACCTCTAGAATTTTGGCTTGAGCAGTTGAACTGGAGGCCATTTAATGAGTGGAAGACAGGAATAGAAGAATGTGGGAGTGGATCAAGTGTTTCGTTTGAATGACTAGTTGTATCCAGTGAGCAGCTGGATGTACTTGTCCAGTGTTCTTCTAGACCAGGGATTGGCAAACTTATTCTATAAAGAATCAGATAGTAAATATTACGCTTTGCATGCCAAGAAGCAAAATCAATGAGATTATATAAGTACATAAAAATTAAAGAAAAATCACAAATTTTTTATTGACAAAATTCAAAATCTAACAATTGAGTACATTTTGTGTAATACAGTCTGCAGCTTAATTGGGGTTCAAGGTTAATGTTCCCTATCATCAAAGCCAATTGCAAATGTTCATCTGTTAATGCTGATCTGTAATGAGATTTTACATATTTCATCTTTAAATATGTCTTCATATAGCACTGTCAAATACTGATATCAATCCAAGAGCATATGATTTTAATTGAGCATATTCATCACTTGGAAGGCATTTATAGAATTCTATTATATTCTTCTCTTGATACTTGCCTTTTATCATGTTGTACATTATAGATTAATCACATCTAATTGACTGTTGGGTGGAAGCTCTTCAATTACACAACAAATGAAATATGGAAATTTCCTGTGCATTTGCAGTGAGGTCCAACAAACACTGCTGGAACTGTAGTCTGAGCTCAGAGAATATATCTGCTGCAGTTTTGTGTGGGGATGTTTTAACTTTTGATAGCACAAGAAATGTGTATAACAGCTTGACATTACCTATGATTTAAACAACTTTAATGACTTGGCTGCAGTATACGCTTCACATATAAGCACTGTTTTGCCTTGTAATTTTAGATTAAGTTCTTTAAGAAACATTACCATGTCTGCAGCAGGTGTCCTCTCTGACAGATGAATGCTTAAACAAAATATGATATATACAGACAATGGAATGTTATTCAGCCTTAAAAAGAAATTGTCACATGCTACAATATGAATGAATCTTGAAGACGTTATGCTAAGTGAAGTAAGCCAGCCACAAAAAGACAAATATTTTATGATTCTACTTAAATGAGGGACTTAGAGCAGTCAAGTTAATAGAGATAGAAAGTAGAATTGTGGTTGCCAGGGGCTGTGGGAGAGGGAAATGAGAAGTTATTGTTTAATGGGTACAGTTTCAGTTTGGAAAGATGAAAAAAGTTCTGCAGATGGTAGTGATGGTTGCACAACAATGTGAATGAACTTAATGCCACTGAACTGTACACTTGAAATGGTTTAAATGGTAAATTTTATGTATATTTTGCCACAATAAAAATAAATAAATGAACTAATGATCTACTGGATCTATGTATTGAGCATCAGTGGCTGCTAACACTACAAATTAAGAAACAACCAGACATTATGTGTTTCTTATGGAAAACACCACCACCACCACCACCACCACCACCACCACCACCTATGAATTAGTCTGGGCCAAAATACTGAATTTGAATGTGATCAAGCCTTGAGGTATAACTACCAATTCAAAGAAAATGAAGAGAGCAGAGAAATACATTAAACCACACCACAGTGATGCAATCCATAAAACAGAGTGTAAGGGATACAGAAAAAACAACCCATTTTCTTTATCAAAACAAATTACAAGGGGAATAAAGATGTGGAGAAACCTATAGTTTAAAAGATTTTAAAAGACATATTAACCAATTATAATGTGCGGACCTTATTTTGATCATAGTTTTTAAAAAAGATTTAAAAAACATTTCCAACTTTTGTAAGACAACTGGGGACTCAACCACTGACTGGACATTTGATGCTATTAGCAGTTATTGTTAAAATTTTTAGTTGTGATAAAGGTATTGTGGTTAAGGTTAAAAAAAAGGCCCTTGTCTTTTGGTGGCATTGGTTATTTATGGAAAGATAAATTTAGCCATAGTTATAGATTGAATGAAAATGCCAAATACACATATATGAGTTCTAGATAATTATGTAAATTAAATTATAATTCATGTATATATTGTCCCTTTTTTCAAAAAGATTGAGAAATTTGGAACTAACTATACACTTTAAGAATGTCTAATCAGAAATTTTATAGTACAAATACATTCTGGTTTGTGTTCTGGTCCAAGATAATAAAACTTTCTTCTTGACTCTTAAAAATAAAATAATCAACTATGTATTGATGTAGAAAGATCTCCACTATATATTGAGTGAAGAAAGCAAAGTGCAGAACAGTATATGTAGCATGCTATGTTTCACATGAGAGATTTTGAGGGTGGGGAGGAAATAATAAAGCTGTAATATTCGCTTATATTTGCAAAAAGCATTACTAGAATAAATAAGAAACCAATCAAAATGGGAAAAGAAGTCAGGTAAGAATGGAAACAAGACTATGTTTACCTTAAGACTCCTCTATGTGTGCTTTGAATTATGTAATTTTATTACCTAATCAAAAAATAAAAGTAAAAAAAATTTAATTCTTTAAATTTGAGAACAAATGAACCGAACCCTGACAACTTGCAACAGAATCACATAGAGAAAGAGTTAGTTCTAAAGACTTTATGTGCTTAATGAAATGTATTCTAAGGACAAAAAAGTCTACAGCTAAGATTTTAAACCTTTAAATATTAAAATTTATTAAATTTTAAACTTCTCTAAGAATTTGTATTGTTTGTACTTTACTAGTATTAGAATTTTGAAAATATAGTATTTTCTTATAATACTAGATTAAAGGACATCAGTAATCATATTATTAACATAAAGAATCAATATTTTAGTGTAAAAGATATCCAGTTATATAGCCAAAGAAACTAAGTGAAAACATGAAAACATAATAGCATTAAAAATGAAAAATCAATATGAACTCATGAGTTTTCAAAATGTATTTTCTTGTCCGGTCCATGGAAATTGATGTCCAACAGTAGGGCAAAGGTATAATGGTCACCGTAATGAGCAGGTATCTTCAGACTGAAAGATGAAGCAGGCACTCTATAGATTAAAACAGAATCTATTACAGGGTAATTTACAGGAAGCAGACAGATGGCCCAGCAGTTTTACGTAAATTATTATCTGCTAGTAGACCCCTGCTACAGTACTTTTTAAATAATAGTATAACCTGGGTGCTAATGAATGACAAGACAAAGGGACAAAGAATGCAGTAGCACCAGGGAACATACCTCCGGGTGGTCTTGAGATAGATGATTGTTTATAATCGATACTCTCACCAGTTTGATATTTATTTTGGTTGTCTTGCCAATCCGGCTGTCACTAACAAAAATATGTGCTACCTTTTAAAGAACACAGATAATCATCAACTAGCAAGCTTTGATATGCTCACTAAGGACAGTGAGGTTGGTTAAAGGTCACAGCATGAAAAGACACGAAGATAGAG